TTATGATTATACAATTAACTATATATATATATATATATATATATATAGTTAATTGTATAATCATAATCATATATATATATATATAACGAATTTGAACGTAGGGTGTGGGGTGGAAAGAATGCCACTTTCGGAAAAAATTGGAATATTATTCAGAGAAACTATTCAAGATAAATCGTAATGTTAAGAAATTAATATCTATGGCATAATCTTGTTTCACGAAAGACCGCAATTAAAAGGAACGATAGTATTTAGAATTAGTTCTACGTTGCATGAATTATCGTAAACGCATCCGCATCGAGTTACCGAAGTGTAGAATTAATGACTGATTGAATCTCTCTTTCTTACTCGACCCAACTGGCTAACTTTAAAATAGATTTATGGACGTAAAAAGAGATTCCAAATCAGAAATTTTTACATCGCCAATAAATGATTAACGATAAGGATTTCTTATTCGACCCAACTGGCTAACTTTATTAATTATAATCGTCAACGTCGTTGACGATTATAATTAATAAAGTTAGCCAGTTGGGTCGAATAAGAAATCCTTTTATTGGCGATGTAAAAATTTCTGATTTGGAATCTTTTTTTACGTCCATAAATCTATTTTAACATGTATGTATATATTATGTATGATAATGAAATAAGCTGTACATGGTGGCAAGGATAGCACAGCTGTCACAAGCTTGTTTCAAATGCATCCGTTACGCACGTTTTGGTTTACTACTATAAGGACAAGTCCAATCTGTCCAATCATTTGTACTTTTCTTACATTCTAATATATATATCCACTCAGTATATGATTGAATCCTGATTACATTTAATGCTTGCATTGTAGCAAACATTGTAACTCTTGTTCACGGCTACTTGTCTTTTTAAAAGGCAGTACGTCACCAGTGAAGAAAAACTACCCGGGACGATGCGGGCTTGATACGACCAAGAGCGCAACGGATGCGCTCGTTGCGAGTTGCGAGCGTACTCTCGGCGTATTATTTCCAGAAAAGCGCCAGCAAGATTACAGACAATTTGCGCGATAGGTATGCCGGTGATTGGTCGAGTCGTGCTCGGGGTAGAAGGGAATGCCGATACAAATCTCTCGCGGCACAATATGTAACTTGACTTCCTGGAGAGAAACGCTCTTCTATATATCTCTTCCCGCGCGGCTGGAATTCTATAAGGGAATCCTGAAGAAGCGATTAAAGCTTGATCTGTTGATTGAAGAATGATTAGTGCCAGGACGACGAAACTAACCGGCCGTTCCCTTTCTATCACTCGCCGGTCTTTTTGTAAGAGAGGAAATGAAGAGATTGCTGCGTCGGTCGTTGCGCACTTTGAGAATTGCAATTCTCCGCAATTCGAAAGGCGAGCGGAAGCTAACAAGATATACGATGTGGAGAACAATTTTCCGTATATTTCATTTTTCTTTTATATAATTACAGGTTTCACATTACTAATTATAAATATGATGCGCAAAATAAATAGCCCGTTATGTTACCTGCACATTAATGCACATTCTATTAGATATTATCAAATTACCAAATCCATATCACGTAATAGAATTTTATAGAGGCGAAGACAAAATAATATAAAATGAAGTAGGAACAAATAAGTAAATAAATATACATATGTGTGTGATGGATTATATTAACATAGATCATCGTGACTCTCGATTCTCGGTAATTTAGAATACGTGCTAGTTGGACTTGTCGTCCACTTTTTTTACATTAGCGAGGAACATGCGTCACTATGAGTTTTATGAAGAGAGCAAGAGAGAGAGAGAGAGAGAGAGAGAGAGAGAGAGAGCAGAGAGAGAACGAGAGAGACGAAAGCTCGGACATGGCAAGTCCGAGCAGGCAGTTTTGTTGTTCGTCTTGTACGTGCTAAATATTTGAGTCAGGTTGTCGTCGGCATTAAACGACGAGCAAACATTGCCGATACATCGCGGAAGAAAACGTCGCTCGTTTATCAAGTGCAAACAAGGCACCGTTCTGTCTGCCTTCCTCGCATCATCCCTCGGAGTAAGTTGTTATTCTCAGGCGAATAAAATTCTCATAACGTCACTATAATTTAAAATCTAAGAGCGACTTCATGTTTCAATATTTCAACCTACGCAGATCTAAATATATAATTTTTCTTCCCTTTTAGCATATTTTATATATATAAATAAATCTATTTAAAATCGTATTTCTAATTATAAAATATATGTGTTAGTTTGCATAATAAAAGCATTAAAACTAACATGTTGTTGATAATCAGTAAATTATTAGTTTAATTTCTCGGTATTTTTTGAGCGAATGCCAATTTCGTGGAATAATAATTTATTTATATAACAAAATCAATTTCGCGTGGTATCTGTAGAAGAATGTGAGAGGTAAACGCGCGAATATTTTATCTAGCAAAAGATTCGTCGGTACGCGTACAGATTAATCTCTTCGCTATCAGATATTTTTGCGAAAGTACGTGAACAAGTTAGAGAAATGGTTGGAAAAGTGAGAACAATCTTATCTGAAGAAATCGTATCTGTGAGTGCGCGCGCAACGAAAAAAGGCCCGAGATCTCGGCCGAGAGGAACTCTATATCTCATCCAGCTGTGCGGCTGCAAGGCAAATTTTTAAGTTACAACCTCGTGCAAAGAGAGAAGCGCTAAACGACGAGCGTTTGAAATTCGTCGCGTCGTCGCACCATTGCATTTAAAGCAGCAGCTCCCAAATTGGACAAGTGAGAGTAATAATAAACCAATGGAGTGAATATTACAAGGACAGATAAGAATGGCACGCGCTTTGCGCCAAGCGTATCTTCATTTCTATTTCTGAAATGTGTCGTATTTAAACCTAAAGAGTTGACATTACTCGCAGAATTCTCTCCGTTATTAAGAGGAGGCTTAATCGTTATCTTATCTTCAAAATATCATTAAAATTAATATTTTTAAATCGTTGTACATCAAGACCATTATTTTCAACTATTTTAATGTTATGACTTTATATGTATATATGTATAAACTTGATTCAAATGTAGGTATTTATATCTATAGATTTAAGAACTGTCTGACATGAAGGAAGGGAAAAAGTATGAAAAAATAATATATTGTGGTATATATATGGAGAGGGAGAGGAAGAGGAAGAGAGAGAAAGAAAGAGAGAGAGAGAGAGAGAGAGAGAGAGAGAGAGAGAGAGAGAGAGAGAGAGAGAGAGAGAGAGAGAGAGAGAGAGAGAGAATTACGAAGGATTAAGCTATTTCCGGGTGTTCCTTTGACAACCTCTGATAGCAGGCATAGTAGCATGTGACGTAGTACGAAACAGTGTCAGCAAGCTGGGTCGGCGTGTGAGTAAAACGGTAACCGAGCGCGGAACAATATTTGCCCGATAACCAGCCTGGAAAACGTTCTCTCCGCGTGCTAATGGATTTAGCGATGGCCGGGACCACGTGCCCCGTTCCGAACGAACGAGCGTTGCTCCACACGCGGCCGGCACGCGCGTATTGTGCAAATGTCTGTTTGCCGTGCCGCGTGTTTCACCAACGATGATCGATGAGATTTTTATTCACATGCGAGCAAACAACGGTGAGCCGAAACCCCATGCGTTTCTTCGTTTCTTCTGCCGTGAGCGAGCTCGATCGACACGGTCGGATCGTTCGAATTCGGGTCGGATCCTTGCGATTATCTACAATCCCCGTTATTTTGTACCTCGTAGATTTATCATGGAATTTCCACCGTTATGCATTTCCTGAGAACCTCTCAGTAGATGTAATTACGGTGTAACAAGTAATAATATATTCAATTGCCCCTTTCTGTAGTATGTGTTCAACGGAAGGTTCACCTTAACAGAGTATAGAGAAATTATAAGATAAATATAGATTTAAATATAAAATCCTGTAAATTGAGAAGAAAGAAATAACATATTATATAAAATATGTGTGTATAAAATATAATCTACAAAATAATCTTTTAAGGACAAAACAAAAATATGAAACATAAATTATAGAATTATAGAAATTAAATACTCAATCGACACATTTCTCCCGGAATTATTTTACAAAGAGAAATTCAGAGCAAGAGAAATGTCTACTGAATAAAAGAGTTTTTCAGTTCTCGAAATATGAACTCAATTATCAAAATTAATTAATAGGTGGTCGAAAAGTTATAGGCGATTTCTATTTCAAATTCTTTAACTATCGATTCGTTTCACTAGAGAGATAGCGTCTTTTTATTCGTCCGAACCTTTCGACAAGCCGTTCGTGTAATTATCGCGGCCCTGATAAACCGTAAACGGTAATACATCTTGAATATCATGATATCGCTTTCACTCTGGATCAGTATTTCTTCTGCATTTTTGCGACCGAAATTCAGTCGTTGCAAATTTACAAATATTATTCTTTTTATTGGATTTAATGACATCAGAAAAAGGAATTTTTTCGAGCACGTTCCTTAATCTACCCTATTACTATATGTTAAAATTACTATGTAATGTCGGAACAATTAATTTTTATTCGAAAAATTGATATAATACGATAAATATTTGATACAAAACTTCCGTCCAGAAAAAAATTAACTTGACAATTTCGACAACTTTGTTAAGTGATGTGTTAAAATTTTTTTCTTTTCAAAATCTATACTTTTCATTGTCAATCGCCATATCTCTTCTCATTTTCCTTTTGCACAATGTATTAATAAAAATGACGGTTTTCTTCTGCAAAATAGCGTTCAATAAATTTCATTTTGTCTATTTATATATTAGCTATTTAGTTTCAATTATTTTCCGTCAATCATCCTCTGGTATGTTCTATGTTTCACTAAAAGGAGCAAAATGAAAGCCTGAAAAAATTAATTATAAAATTTTGTATTTTATTTCATTTCATGCAATAAAATTTTATGCAATTATTCAATATTATTGAATTAGTCAGATTGTGTTCTTAATTTCTGTTTAAATAATGAAGATTCTAATGAGGTATAGGTGTGTTTTGAAGACCAAGTATGCTATCGATGAACATTTAATGTAATGTTTTTTCTTGCAAATTTTTGAAACCCATCTCTTTCGTGTATTAAATAAATGGCATCACCAGTTCGACGATACTTTCAAGGAACTCGTTTCGACCTTCACACTTGTGCCGTTATAATGTATCGCTCTTAGGATGACTTCGAAGTAGCGGCAGCAGTTTCAGCTCGTTCTCCATCATCATCCGTCACACGTGTTCATAGGTCGAGTTCATCAATTTGACGGAGGGAGAGATCGATTTCTCTCGCTTGTCTTGAGATAATACGGCCGGAAGTAGCGCCGTTCTCTCACGTCTATAATCACACTGTAACGGAACCAGCAATGACGGACATCGTGTCAAAAGAACTTTTATTAACGTTCATTACGGCTTAATCATCTGTTTGAACAACCATGAAGCCAATTTTAAAATAATTTTTGAACAACCATGAGGCTAATTAACGATTTGCAATTGAAAAATTTATCTTGAAAACATTGCGGTACTGTCAATTCGATTTTTTAGGTATGAAACATGTTTGAAGAGAGAAAAGCCATCGCTTATCTAATAATATTCTTTAACAGCTTCGCAGTATTATTTGATTATTATTGTTCTTTTAAAAACAATACTAATTCGAAATAACATTTCAATTATTTTACGTCTTTTTAAACAGTTTTACTGTAGTAATATCATCGTATTGATATTTTCACATATTTTCTTCAATATGATCACACTGATATGTCGAGGCATGCATCAATTTTCACAGAATTTCATCAGGCGCAATTCTTGAAACTCGTCAATTAGATAGGGTTCTAAAGGATGATATGCATTCCAGGCAACGAGGCATGTAATTGCCGGTAAAAAAAAATATATATCGCAGTCATAAAAGAAAAGATATATATTAAAATTCGACATGTGTTTATTGTACCTAGAATACATCGCATATACGAACTACGAACCGAAGTATGCACACATTAAAAGGCCGTTATCACCGGGCGTGTGCGTGCGCGTAGTATAATTTTAGAATCAAGGAAACCGAGCTAATGATATCCGACTATATGTCATTTCTATCTTAGACACTCCCTAATTTGGTACCAATTTACATTCTAGACAGATAAGAATCCAAGTATGCGCCATTATCGCGATCTCTTGCAGAATATCCCTGTCGCGAAATCATTTTTGCGTGATAAAATATCGCTGTGTTATGATTGCAAAACTTTCGCAAATATGACGTGCAAGATGTGAAAAGATATTATCAGTTGTTTGGTAGTTAACTCTTTAAAGAAACTATTAATTTTAATCCTTCGTTGATGGATGTTGGACTTTCGCCAAATATCGCGAAAAATTCTGAACAATAAAAATTAAAGTAATAACTGTTTATGTAGAATAAAATCAGAAAAATTAAATTCAGAATAAAAGTTAATATAATAAACTTTCAGATTTATCGTGTAACGCAATTTGGCAAAAATATAGAATTATATAATTATCTCAATAAGTTATAAATATGATTTTAAAACTTTTTTCTTTTAACTAGCACACGTATATCGACGTATATAAAAACGCAGGATTAATTATGTTCGTCTGATTAAGATCTTTGAACGTAAATGGTGATAAATTAGTAGGTTAAATTTAAATTTATCAAACAGTTTTGATTCGCATTAATAGGATATTAATTATATACACTGTATACTCTCTTCCAGAGGTATACCGCGAAACATGATTGCCATGTTCCGGCAAGCGAATAAAAGGTGTGTAATGATCAGCTCTCAGTTCCATTGCAAATTATAAGAATCTTACTACTCACGTGACTCAGCGTGTGCGAATTTGTTTCTTTTCAAGATGTTTTCTTGGCACGAAAGTCTTGATAAAACATGTAAAAATTTACAGAGAAAATTATATTAAAATTATTAGATTTCACAATTCCACGAATTTTTTCTTCTTTAATATATATATTTATAATATATATATACATAAAATATATATGTATGTATACATATATATTTTTTTTCTAAATATTTCCAACAAGTGTTAAGAACATAACAAATGTTTATTTATCTTTACGTATATGATTATATTTATATTTTATATTTATATATGCAGCTGAAAGAAAAATTGCGCACACTTTATCCCCCTTACAGTAATATTGATATTGTGGTCAATTATGCTTAATAAACCGGCTCTTGGTGAGCGATATTGCAGAAAATGCCGTTCTTTCTCGACGATTATGAACATAACGCGTTAACGATTATCCGCTTAACTCACTGACAGCTGACATTAGCACACGAATTCCCGCGCTAAGCGGCCGCGCGTTCTCTCGCGCATTGCTTTTGATACTCCCAGTTCTATCTGCGTTCACCTTTCTACAGGTGATAGGACCATAACGTGTAGACGTAATTTCAAAGATACGAACATGTTTTCGCAATACAGAATTTAATTTCTCATCGAAGAGTTACTATACAATAATTTCCTCTTCTTTCCTCACCTTCTACCTCTAGCTCTTTTCTAAAAAAATGATAAAAAAAAAAAACAGATATTCTAAAAATTTATTTTGACATTAAAAAGTTCAAATTTCACATTGATTTAAAATTAAAGAATAAAAACAAATTGAATATATGATTAAATGTCTTGATTAAAAAATTAGAGAAATAAATGAAATGACTATATTTATGTTGTTCGCACAGCGAATTTCCTGATAGAATTCATTTTTTAATGTATATTTCTGTTCCGAATATTGCGACGTAATAAGATACATGAATCGTCCTGTGTATAAGAATAATTAGAATGCTCCAGGTATATCATAGATGTATTTCCTCATTTTACGCCACAATTTATTTCAACGTGAGATCTCTGCGTTTCATTTGTCTACGGTTTCTAGGAAAAGGCGATCGGTATGAGGCCAAATGACGAATCCTAATTGTCTACATTCCCAGACGATCCACTTGTGATTCATCTCCAATGTATTTTCTCTGTCATTAACTTGAGTCGTCTTTACCTAGAAAGACAACTTTGCATCTTTGTCTCCTATAATCTTTAATTTTTTCTTTGCTCGTGATTGATTGTACTATGTTTATCGAATATTTCAAATATCGAAAAGCATATACGCGATCAAAGTCAAAGTATACAATTCTATACAAGTACTTTGAAAAAATTGAAAAACTCTCGGCTCCTTATCTCGCTATCATCATTTCACTCATTTGAGAATGATTGGAAATTAATTGTAAACTGACATAGCACTAAACACATAGGATGTGCACGCACGGGACGAGCGCACGCAGGTGCACTCTACTCGAGGGGGGAGGGGATAGAGCAGCGAGACATGGGAGGAGTTCCCTGCGAGTGCTCTCTCCGTCTCGTCGGAGAGACCACTCTCGCGATGGCAGAGGTGGTCTCTGCTCACCTGAGCGTTTCAGGTGGCAGTCGCCCTGCTGAGTCGTTCAGCGACGGGTTCTCCTCGCGTGAGCGCCGCGAGCGAGCGCGATTCGCCAGAGAACACACGACTTAACAATTCCGGAAATTTGAGATCCGCGAATTCGAGACCGAGATTGAGATGTCGAGCGAATCCGCGAGTATTTGCGATGCGATCTCCCAAATTCTCCTCCGTAGATCGATGGAGCATTTATCGGATCTGTTTTCATAAATGCAACCTTGAGAGACAAGACGTTGGAATAATTACTCTTACGGGGGCAATATAAGAGGGGGGAGATCAATAGGTTTATTTTAGCAAAATATAAAGTTTTACTAGACGAGATCGTTGTAAACTTGACTATGGTTTAATCAGGGACTAATTATTAAAATCAGACCAATTTTACCGGGAGTAAGGTTTTCGATGCAAGCAGTTGATTGATTTATATGAATTATATATTTTTGTTGATTAAAGCAAATGTACATTTTCGGTGACATTATCGATCCAACAATACATGTTTAGTTGATTTAATAAATCAGAAGGATTCTCAATCTTTATCGGATTTGACGAAACATTGTACAATTGAAACGCTTTTGTGAATCACAAAATATTTTATATAAAAGACAATGTGACGCATCAATATGAACAAGTAACCAAGCGGAGATTCGGTTGTGATAATTGATCATACCCTGCGCGACGCTCGATCGACAAAATCAAAGATTTGGAGGCGGATCCACAGCGTGAAAAAAGTGCACGCCCTCGGGTGATTTCGAGGTTCACTAATTGCGACAACATAAACGACTGAATTTGATCGAGGAGCAGTATCTGAGAGAAAAGATTTGCGTTCATTAAACAAACCAGGACGATCCTGACCATCTTGACGAGCCTGACGATCTCGTGGATTTGTATGTCGACGTGTGCAAAGCATTCCCGAACGGCGTCGTAAAAATTTGTCGTGAAATCGACTCGTCCGACTGCATTCTGATGGAATTATCAGGGTATCGCGTAATAACAACTGAAGCGGAGCTGCAAAAAGCGCTCGGTTAAAGAACCGACCGCGGGAAGGAAACCTCAAATCGGAGTTTATAGGATTGCAGAGAGCGACGGGGCAAGGAAGAAAAGTACCGCGTGCGCGCATGTTGGTCAATGAAAGCGTCTTATTAAAGATGGATCAATGTATAGGATATATTTAAAAAAGTAGAGACTCGTTTCCACAGCTGGATTTTCCGAGCTTTTTCTGAAGTGAAAAAACAAACAATTTTTAAGACACCTATATATAGCTGATGCTTCATATAAATTTACGAATGTACGAAAAAAATGTAAAGCCATCCCAGTGTTAAATAGTTTTTCATTGAAATATACTTCAAAAATTCATCTTCATCAGCTTTATTAAAATATTATGAAATAGAATTTTTGTTAATGTAAAGAGAGAAGAGAATCGCCAAATCTGGGAAATTCGAATTTCCACAATTCTGATTTCAGGAAGACTCATCTGATTTTGATCTATCTATCAAGTATAGATAGATAGAAATCGGCGACTAGAAAGGAGATGAATTAATGGGCATAAGATTATGGGAATTTATTATTCCGATTGGTCCAACCCTCGAGCTAATTTTAACGGTGAATTAAAAGCAAGAATAAAAAGCAAACAAAAAAAAAATGCGGCCAGTCATAAATCCTACAATGACGATGTGACAGCGGATGCCAACACCGTTATCGTTGATAAATGCCAATAATTATATAGCCATAAGTCAGCGTCACACAACAGAATCAACAAATATCACTTGTAAGTGTGAATCGATCGATCGCGTGTTAACAAGAATTTGCATGCGAATCGTTTTGAGGAAATATTTTCAAAAGCGAGCGAGACGAGTTCCGGTGCAACGGTATTCATTAAGATTGTAATTCGTTATATCATACCTACGTTACGAATACTTTGCGCGATAAAAATAGCAACATAAACGACTGAGCTTGATCGAGAAAAGAATAAAGAATAAAGAATAAAGAATTTACGCTCGAATTTACGTATGAATGAAGAAAGGAAGGACATTCGAAGATTTCAAGACCTCCGCGACGTTCCCCAGAAGATGGTTTTACGTGAAAGCTGACGGTCGCGGCGGAATGGACAACGACACGTCGACTGAAGAGCAGTCGTTAAGAACTTTCCAAGTTTTGCGAAGATATCTTTCCCACGTACCGCAAAGTCGCGCATGCAAATGAAGTAGCCAAGGACTTTCGACGGGGAGTGCGTATTTCCGCGAGTGTCTCGAGCGATCATTGATCATAAACAAGTGGAGTATGATGGGAGAAGTGATCCGCGTTTCTGGGAGGGCACCGGACGTCGGTGACATTCTGAAGGAGGCCATGTTGTCGCAGAGGTTCGCCGATGTGGCCCTGTGTTGTCCAGGAGGTCAGAGGTTCTTCGCTCATCGTCTGGTTCTGTCAGCGGCCAGCTCCTATCTTCAAGTCAGTATCAAATAAAACGACACTATTAATTAATTAATAGTATCGTAATTAACTAAGTTATCATAATTAACGGAAATTAATAATTAAATCGGTCATTGTAGAAATGACGCGAATTAACTTTTTCGAATCAATTGAGAAATAAAAAAAAAGTTAGTGGTCTTATTTTAATTTTCTTCGTAACGTATATTTTTATTGAACCGAATGATTATATTAATTTGATGACTTGAAATTAGACGAGATCTGGGTTATGTTTTATCCGCGCTCTTGTTGATTTTCTTTTCTTTTTCATTATTTATTTATCTGCTAATAATGTACTGTGTAATTAAAATACGGAAACAGCTGCGTAGAGTTTATTGATATTTTCATAATTAACATTCTTAACACTCAAAATAACTTGAAAATAACAGGAAGAGATAACTGTAAGAGATAATTGTATCGTCGTGGATTTATACGCGACTTATAGATAGTTTCACAACGTGGCATTTCTCAAGTGCGTTTATCGCGATTTGAGAGAAGCTCCTATATTACTGTTACTCGTACCTTCGCTCGTAATAAGAGAGGTGCAATAAAAGAAAATATAGTTCGCGTTGCCGTTTAATTAGCGGGTTAGTTACCGGGATAACAGAGACGGTGAGCTGTTAAATTCTGCACATGAATGCAGGTGCATTTCGCGGTGGATGTTTCTCGCTCGTCTCCGTGCCGGCTTGTGTCCGATCGCGCAAATCACCGTCGCGATATAAACCGATTGTGTGCTCCCCGCTGACGAGCATTTAATGCCACCGAATTATGTCACACGGAAATAAAGATAATGCGATATCGCGCAACTCGGCACTTGAGGTTTCTTGAAGCCGCGCCGACACGTTACGATGCGCATTGCGAACTCATCGAGTTGCGCGATTGTTAAACTATTGCGCCACTAGATTGGAACATGAGCGCAAAATTAACGAGACAGATGCGACCATAGCAGACTTGATGATATTTATGTGCAACAGGACGTGTATTCTTAATACTTCTTGGTACATCCTTCGAGAATCGATTATTTCTTAAAGAGTTAGCCTATATCGAGTCGACGAAATATAAGACTTTTGTCTCATTTCAATTAAAGAGAATTCACGCGCGCGCGACTATGATAATTGGAAAATAAAAACTATAAAAATTAAGAGTGTTTATCATATTTATCTGAATTCTTTTGAAACATTACTTTTTTCCTTTAATTTCTAACGCCATTTAATTCCGCACACGGAAAAAAATCAATTAAACGTTAACGTCACGGGCTGCCACAAGCATAAATAGTTAATTCAATTGGATATTATTGGACCAAATATTTAAGTTATTAAAACAATTATCTGATGTTTTTTGTTTATCAATATTTTGATGTTGCATTGCATCAATAAATTTTATCTCGATAACACTTATGCTGTTGATACAACATCATTTTTTTCCGTGCAACTATCGCGTTTACTTAGTCTTATGTATCTTTTTGTCTAATTTCTAATATTTCTAGTATTCGCGTAAATGTACTTTATTATACGTTGCGTTGTGCTCATTCGGTTAAACGAGAATTCAATTATGATACATTGGAAAACTATAAAATTGTCGGTTATTTGTCCGAATTCTTTTGAAACTTTGATCTTTTCTTTTAATTTCCAATGCCACTTGATTCCGTTGTTATTGCGCAATTATTGGTCGTTATATCTCTTTACACCTAATCTCTTGCGCGTTTAAACTTGATTTCTTTTACGCTTTATCGTGTTCGTTCGGTTCGAAACGACAATTCGATTATAATGCATTGAAAAGAACTAGAATTGTAACAAATAAGATTGTCTATTATTTACTTGAATTCTTTTGAAACCGTGTTCCCTCAAATTCCCTTTAATTTCAACGTCATTGGATTCCGTTATTATCAAGCAATTATTAGTCATTATGTATTTTTATATCCAATCTCCTGCGCACTTACTTTATTTTACGCCCCGTTGTTTTTATCACATAAAACGCTTAAGTGCAGTTTTACGTGAGTAGAATCTTGTTGCGAAAGGAAAACCTAGGAAATAAATCCTGATGCACTCCAGCGTACAACGTAATTACAAAGTAATGTCGCGTCAGCGACGTGAAAATTGTCAATTATGCGTCGCTGCTGTGATTCGTGCCATGAATCGCGCTTTCTAAACTCTATAGCAAGCGGAATGCCGAAAAGAAAAATTTCCCGTACTTCCTCACAAATGGAAATTTGTTAAACGGGTTCAGTCCACTGTCTTATTCTCATACCTCACTTTATTCCACAAAAATTTTTGGCTTTCTCAGAAGGATATTTAATCGTGAGACATAACGTATACATCTCGCTCAATTTCTGCGTTACTTACAATGTTTTAGTTGTGTTTTTTTTTTTAAATACAGATGATATCGATTGCTTTAGAGACTGAATCAAAAGCAGCATTGCGATCGTGCTGCGTTAGAAAGGCAATCGTTTTTCCCGTCTCACATTAGAAAAGAAGAAAAAGGAAGAGGAAGGAAACGATGTGCGTAAAAGGTTTTGCTTTCTTGTCGCAACAAATATGGCAACCTTGACTTCAATGTTGGCAGATACCCAGATCTCTGATGCCATAAAGCTTGCACGACGGCACTAAACAACCCCTTTTGCGGTTCTTGGAACGTACCGGAGCGCAACGCATCTTTCCGGTACTGCCATTCGCGGATTCCTAAGTCCCGGCATCTCGATTTATCACCGTTTGACCCAGTATCTGTTTACTCCAAGCGAGATTCCTACTTTTTCTTGCGCTCCTTCGTGCGTCGCGTGGCGTGAAAAGAATAATAATAACAAACGTCCCCACTTTCCCACTATCCCTTAAAAAAAAAACGCGGAAAAAATGTAATGACAGTCAAAATATTTAAAAATTTTTCTTAGATTTTTTAAATTGTACGTATTTTTAAATTAATTATAAGGATTATTAACAAAAACAATAGAGGATATTTTTTTATATTGTAATATTTTTTATGAAACATTAGAGAAAATACACACACTCTCTCTCCTTCTCTCTCTTAGTTTGGAAATTATTACAAGATATACAAAATATTTCTCTTTTTATCAAACAACGTTGCATTGTCCAAAGGGAAAGAAAACACATTTTACAGTTTTAAAGAGATTGGCACATGCATTTAGTGCAATCTCTGATTTGTCCATCGCTTGAAATAGGCTTTTCATTGACGCACGTCTCACGGCTAATTAGCCAGTTAATGGGAATCATAAAGGATTGATATCCGGTTTTGTAGCAGTTCAATCTAATAATGTTTTCACGCGGTGAAATAATTCACTACGAGTAGAAATTGAAAGAAAATGAATCGAATAAACGAATAAGTATGAGTTGTTAAATGTCTATGATTCAGCTACGATCTCGTAATGGGCTCCTTATTGCAAAATAAATCGTATGATTTACGATAAACTCGCTATAGCGTCATCTCGAAACTAGCAAATTCATACGTGCTTCCAGCGCGAATGACCTGATTAATGCATATAATCGAGTGCGTATATACATATACACATGCATGTACAATACTTCTTTTACCTAAAACTGAAGATATTAGGCAATCAGAAAATAAATTAATAAAATTTTAACATAAATTACTTTAATTTAACAAGGAAAGAGAAATATAAATCGTAGAAAATATCACATAAAACATAAATGTTGAACAGATTCATCGTTACGAAACATGTTGCGCGATTTGTAGACATGATTGCGTTACCGGCTTTTTACATCTGGTATTTTTTCATCCTGACGAGCGTGGAAAATCACACGTGCTTTAATTAGTGCGACTGATTAGAGGACACGTAGGGAAGTAGGCTGATTCTTGCAGTCGCGCGCGAGTGAAAAAGTATTGTCACAATGAAACACATTTAACATACAGTGTATTCTTAATACAAGAGAATTATGAAAACGTAATAAATTGTGATATTATGATACACGTCTCGCAACAAAGGATCTAGAATCTGAAAGATATTTCAAACCGGTTTAAGACGCGTACAATCATTTATTTTCGATTTTATTTTTTATGTTGGATTGCTAACACAAAAAATTATTTGAAATTTTTTTACATTTAATTTACATTTAATTTACATTTAATTAGTTACGATGAAATTGTCCACAATCAAGAAAAATATTACGTTCAGAAACCGAATTCGCGCGCGCTATACAACCCGGAATGGGATTTATGCATGTATGCATTTGGCTTGTTTCTTCCGCGACATTTTATGACTTCTTTATAGCTCCTCGCTAACATTAACGACCTTATAAATATTTTTGGGTAATTATGGTTGGACTATTTTTTTTTCGTTAATCTCGGGTGGATGATCGATTGCGTTTTTATCTGTCATAAACAGTCACGGTTAAAAGAAATGTCTTAGATTAAGAGTTTCCTTTTACCGTTAAAAAATATGAATAAATAATGACGGTAAATAGTATCGAGTTCTTAAAGTCTCGATATCGATTAAAAATACAATATTAATTTCAAATATTTTTAGATGAATCAATTACGAAAAAGATTATTTATTATAATAATATGTTCCTGCTTATATGTAAAAAATATGTAATTTTGATATACAACTATTTAAAAAACAGTATATAGTCTTATATGCAAAAAGATTAAGAGATCACGGTTTATTTTTATAAGGTAATAGGGATAAGAAGGTTTAAACGCTGCCAATGATGAGAAGTTATGCATGGTCTTTTAGCGCGAGTAGATTATAGTGTACGTGTAGGTATATGCTTTTTACAAGCGTTGCACCTATTACACGGAATTTAATTGGATTATATCTATCTCTTATTTTCGAAGGAGCTTTCAACTTTTATTAGTAAACAAAGGGAATATGTGTTTTATAAATATCCGATTCTTCAAGATGCGCATTGTTGTTAAGAAAATTACTTTTAAATTGTCAAACAATATTTTAAAGACACTTAATTTTTTTTATTATAGAAATAAGGTTTATTGATGTAAATAAAAACTAGGAA